GGCGTTCCAAGGTCCTTGTTGGTATGTATAATGTTTCATCATCCCAGCTTCTGGGATGATATACACAAGCAGAAAAAAAATTAAACAAATAATCATTCCACCAGATTGGCCCATGAACCACCCCCTTCTGGGCATACGTCCCAAGGCAAAAGACATACATGTAAATAATACATTTGATAATCAATGAATATTACGTTGCGCCAGGACAAAAACAGATTCAGAAAATGGATACATTCTCATGCTTTTTAAAGGATGGGTGCGGAAACGTCGACGCGGGGAAATAAATGCACTTGTGGGATATTGCTTTTAACTTTTCAATTGGTTTTAGACTATTCTTCACACAAAAACGACCACAGATGGATAAAATATTTGTTTGTTTGTTTGTATGTTAGTTGACGCCGCACTTAGCACTATTCCAGCTATATGACGGCAGTCTGTAAATAATCAAGTCTGGACCATCAAGTGGCTGACATCATGAACATAGATCCACGCAATTTGGACCCGATGACGTGCATCAACCAAGTCAGCGAGCCTGACCATAGAACTGTTTGTTTGTTGTTTAACGCCGCACTCAGCAATATTCCAGCTATATGACGGCGTCATGGCGTCACAATAACCATGCCACAATGCCTTTCTCGTCCTATGATACACATTATCCTTCCTGTGTTCCCTCCAACGCTTTTCTGTCACAAAATTACCAACGAATTTTTAACTGAAGGCCCAAGTCACGAGACGCCATACCTACCCGTAACCTTCGTAAGTGTCCGTCACCTATTCGACCCCTTCCGTTCAGTTCCGTAGAGTCTTGGGCATGAACCTGGTAAAACATATTTAGCAGTGTGGGCTTACTTGTAGCTCTGTCGGGCTCACGTACAAAAATGCTTATTTTTGAGACATGTGACCTACAGCAGAGATCATCCACACGAGAAATGTTCTGAAGGTTCTCCACACGCGATGTAGAACGAGTGAGTGAGTGAGTATGGTTTAACGCCGTTTTAGCAATATTCCAGCAATATCACGGCGGAGGACACCAGAAATGGGCTTCACACATTGTACCCATGTCGGGAATCGAACCCTGGTCTTCGGCGTGACGAGCGAACGCTTTAACCACTAGGCTACCCGGCCGCCCCCACGATGTAGAAAGAAACCTTGAAGGGCTTCCATAGTTTATTTTAGGGTGCCCACTTCATGTTATCTGACGAGGTTGCTATGCTACAAACTTTCACCGCCAGTAATATGTTCGAGTGAAGTAGTGGGGTGATAAAATAAAAAAAACTGCTGATGATATACAGCGCCATAATTTGTTTAAAGGCGTTCCGTACTTCAGATTGACAAGCCACTCAAAACATTGGACTCAACCCATGCGGTTTCTCTCAATATATACTCACCGCCAAAAGAAACTCGAGCCATAGAACTGTTTGTTTGTTTGTTGTTTAACGCTGCACTCAGCAATATTCCAGCTATATGATGGTGGTCTGTAAATAATCGAGTCTGGACCAGACAATCCAGTGATTGATATCATGAACATCGATCCACGCAATTGAGATACGATGACATGCATCAACCAAGTCAGCGAGCCTGACCACCTGATCCCGTTAGTCGCCTTTTACGACAAGCATAGTCACCTTTTACGGCAAGTATGGGTTGCTGAAGACCTATTCTACCCCGGAATCTTCACGGGTCTTCTGATGAAGGAATCACCATCAAGCATGTCCAGCTTGATTGTGTTGATTTTTCGATCACAAGAGATAAATATTTCAAATCATCGTCTCATTTAATTGCAGGTTTTTTAAAAGAAATATACTAAATGTAATATACTACCATACATGTTGGTTAATATATGAAGAATTACTCATATTCAAGTGATATTAGATTGGTTCAATGCACAAACGAACATACTGTTATGTTGTGTGAGCCGAAGTTCATGAATGCATCACATGTGACGTCATAGATCCATGACTCTAATATCTCTTGAATTTGAGTAATTCTTCATATATCAACCAACATGTATGGTAGTCACGTTTCTTTTGTTGGTGAGTATATTTGCTCTTACCGAAGAGTACACGTTTTATGTAGAATGGAGATAAACATACTGTCTTTTCAATGTAGAGTTAGGTTAGGTTACCCGTTGATCTATGAAACAAAATTTAACCAGTCCAATAGTTAGGTTTTAGACCACGAGCCGGAGGTGTCCCGATTTAGGTTTTATACCACGAGCCGGAGGCGTCCCGATTTAGGTTTTAAACCACGAGCCGGAGGCGTCCAGGTTTAGGTTTTATACCACGAGCCGGAGGTGTCCCGATTTAGGTTTTAAACCACGAGCCGGAGGCGTCCAGGTTTAGGTTTTAAACCATGAGCCGGAGGCGTCCCGATTTAGGTTTTAAACCATGAGCCGGAGGCGTCCCGATTTAGGTTTTAAACCACAAGCCGGAGGTGTCCCGATTTAGGTTTTAAACCACGAGCCGGAGGCGTCCCGATTTAGGTTTTAGACCACGAGCCGGAGGCGTCCCGATTTAGGTTTTAAACCACGAGCCGGAGGCGTCCAGGTTTAGGTTTTATACCACAAGCCGGAGGCGTCCCGATTTAGGTTTTAGACCACGAGCCGGAGGCGTCCAGGTTTAGGTTTTATACCACAAGCCGGAGGCGTCCCGATTTAGGTTTTAGACCACGAGCCGGAGGCGTCCCGATTTAGGTTTTAGACCACGAGCCGGAGGCGTCCCGATTTAGGTTTTAAACCACGAGCCGGAGGCATAAAACCCCATGTACCCCTTGTTATTCTGCTACAACTTACAAAGTAGCACAATTTCAAATTTAAAACTTGTTGAGAAAACTTAAAAGAATACTTTATCATTCTACAATACAATGTTAAAATATGGGCCATAAATCACCAGCAATAAAAGTCTGTGGGGACTTACAATACTTCGGTGATGGCAGGCAATTAAGCCATAAATTGAAGTTGACAAATATTCTACGTTTAAAACTGGTATGTATAAACATACTTTGAATGATGTGGTCTCACATATACTCTCAGGGGGAAATAATTTTACGCTACTTCAACCCCTTTCGAGGATACATCCACTAACCATCAAAATAAATTAAACAGTTTAAAAACTAGCAATACTTTGAAAAAATAACTATTTACACAATTCAAAATTTCCCAAAGGTATATTTCTTTTAAAAAAACTATAATTAAATAAGACGATGATTTGAAATATTTATCCCTTGTGATCGAAAAATCAACACAATCAAGCTGGACTGCCATCATATAGCTGGAATATTGCTGAGTGTGGCGTTAAACAACAAACCAACCAACCAACCGTCATCACAAGGGATACAAAACGGAGGATCTTCACCTTTCAACAAGTAATTATGTATATATCGTGAATGGCAAATACGACATAGTCTTAGTATGACCTCTCCAAATCTGGAATGACATCCCAAGTAGGTGTAATGGATAGTTGATTTTATTGCATGTAATTCATTTATACCTACTTGGGTGTCCCACTTCTTCTGCATGAGATATCTGATTATTTTATTATCACTGTATGGGAAAAGGAGTGGTGTCACAGATTCGTTGAGAGCTGATAAGCTAATGTATTCTTAACTGCATATGATATCAGAAACTCAAACAATATGTGTGTATATCATTTGTAAAATACAACTATTTTTTGTGTCATTTACAACATGTACTGAGCTTTCTTATTTCACCCCATGTCCGTGCCTCAGTGAAGTGTTACAGAGTGGTAAAAATGCAGGAATCACTTGAGTTGCTCTTGCAGTAGTCCTGTCAATTTAGCCAAATATAGACCCAACCCACCACAAATTGCAACAGAAACTATCTCAACTGATTTACACTCAGAATTTATCCCTTTACAACATATAAAAAGTCAACCCAAATCGGAGTGGTGGATTTTGCTGGACTTTTTATATGTTGTAAAGGGATAAATTCTGAGTGTAAATCAGTTGAATCGTTTTTGTTGCATTTTGTGGTGGCTTCCTTGCTATTTTCACTTGACTATAGTGTTCCAGAAAAGTAGGTATGTTTGGTATTGTCCCGACAATGGAGTGCTTCTACACTCAGTGATATTCCTGCTGTTCTGTACAAAAAACTCCAGGTTTGACCAAACAGGAGGTTGATATAATGAGTAACATGAAATCAACAAGTCACTGAGCCTGACCACCCAATCCACCAAGTCACTAAGCCTGACCACCCAATCAACCCAGTCACTAAGCCTGACCACCCAATCAACCCATTCACTGAGCCTGACCTCCAAATCCCCCAAGTCACTAAGCCTGACCACCCAATCAACCAAGTCACTAAGCCTGACCACCCAATCCACTAAGTCACTGAGCCTGACCACCCAATCCACCAAGTCACTGAGCCTGACCACCCAATCCACTAAGTCACTGAGCCTGACCACCCAATCCACCAAGTCACTAAGCCTGACCACCCAATCCACTAAGTCACTGAGCCTGACCACCCAATCAACCAAGTCACTTAGCCTGACCACCCAATCAGCCAAGTCACTAAGCCTGACCACCCAATCAACCAAGTCACTAAGCCTGACCACCCAATCAACCAAGTCACTTAGCCTGACCACCCAATCAACCAAGTCACTAAGCCTGACCCCCCAATACACTAAATCACTGAGTCTGACCATCCAATCCACCAAGTCACTAAGCCTGACCTCCAAATCCACCAAGTCACTAAGCCTGACCACCAAATCAACCAAGTCACTTAGCCTGACCTCCCAATCAACCAAGTCACTAAGTCTGACCACTCAATCTACTAGCCGTCTCATACACCAAGCATAAGTTGCTCGGGATCTATTGCCCCAGGAATCCCTACAGATGGCCACGGCTGTCCTAACCTTCAACTCTAGGGCTGTTTTGTAGGAGATCACAAATCCATGGAAACCAACAGACATCTACCCCCAGTAACACTTTTTTTGAAAACTGTTAAAACGAAAAGTCGCACAAACACAAGACGAGACATGATATCAGGTTAATGCTTTTTATTACATGGCAAAAGTCGCGTGCACAGAGACAGATGTGATGTAGCTGATATTGAATGACAGATACAGATCCTTCAACACCATTTTTTATTAAGGTGATGACATTCGTGATGATGCTCCTTCGCTGATTATGTCAATACTCCCTGAGAAAATCCTTCATAAACCTAATTAATCTCCTGTAAGAAATGTTGAGATTTAATAATGACCTGTCAACCTAGTTCATCTCCTGTAAGAAATGTTGAGATCTAATAATGACTTGACAACTGGTCATACACTTGTTTTGGTCATAACTTATTGTGGCCAAGTGAAACAATCTTTAGTTGTTTTGTATCCTGTCACATGCAAACTTCAGTACTGATCCAAACATATCAGCCAAATATAGTTAGAAAGATGTAAAAAAGTTGATTGAGGTCTAAACAGTTGTTCTTAGACTTGTTTTCCCGAGAACAAGGGAGGTTACTCTCATTCAGCTAGAGACAATTACATGTACAATACATATGAAACTTCGATTCAGTACAGACCTAATATATCAGCAAAATATAGTTAGAAAGATGTAAAAGGGTTGATTGAGGTCTAAACAGTTATTTTCTGACACTAGTTTTCCCAAGAACAAGGGAGGTTACTCTCATTCCTCTCCTTCAGACAATTACACACACACCATGACAAACTGCAGGACTGATTATATAACCATTGCAACATATTCAGAAGCAGGGCAAGTCAGACAAGGGCACTGATCTGCCCACTTTAGAACCGAGGGAATGTTTAGAAATTGTTACGAGCATCACAAGATGTGTTTCTTTGAATGAGAACTAGATTTGGTTCATTTTGACAACTGCAGGTTTGGGACTCTGAATGGAAAGGCAAGGATAACGTTTCAAAAAGTCTTTAGGGGTTTCAGTAAAGTGTTGTTCTAATATTTGAAAATATCAAAGTCGTTGATCCAAACTGATTTTCACAGATGTAGAAAAAACCCAGTAGAACTGAAAATTAAAAAAAAAGTCGTCTTAGGTCACAGACTTGTTCATACTTAAAATTTTCATTTTAAGTTTAAATATTCTTTCACTCATCGTAGCCATAGTTACATGTTGATCGGTCAGAAGTCCACCACGCGCAAGTGGAGTAAAGAAACATGGCTTGTTGTCAGCCATCGTTAAATGTCGGATAATTTTCGTAATAATATTTCAAAGTTTTTGGCAACTCTAAAATGTGACATTTTCCATGGGTCAAAAAGGGCCCGTATCCCACCTTGTTCTTTTAGAAGAACACACAATCTGTTACAAAATAAAATAAAATGTTTGGCCAAAACCAGCTGTCTCATGATAAAGGTTTTCTTGCTATTTTCACTTGCAGAGTGACACAATAACTCTCCTAAGTCTCACGACTCGAGCTGATGAGACATCAACTTCTGTTATGTACACAGCTAAAACTTTATACAGGGTAAAACGTAAAATGAAATCATAGACATCTTAAAAATAAAAACAAGACAAGGACTTATAACATGATGCACAAATTCTGATATTTTCCATATCATTTTACAATAAAAAACACAATAATCACCACACATAGTTCAGAAAAAACAAATAGCATGCAAAGTATTTGTCTCCATACTCTCTAGTTGCAGAGATACCTGTCATCAAAAACATTTACTCACAATCCCCCAATTTACAGAAAGTATATTAATATATGACTACACAAACTTATATGCAATATGCTAAAACATCTCACAGCTACAAAATATAAGAAATTCTGACTGTTTTCTCATTATCACACATGCACGTATTAAATTACACCTATTAAAAATAAACAATATATCTGCGTAAAGTTGACCTCTGTGTATAAAACAGGTGACTGTCCAGGAATTGTAGATTCAAGGGAGATCCTCACCGAACTTGCTTCTGTGGGCTGCTTTCTTCATTGGGTATATCACCTGTAACACATGGACAATGAGTGAGTGAGTGAATGGTGTTTATCACTGCAGTCACGTCATCATCATCACCTGTAAATAATCAAGAATGGATCAGACAAACAAGTGATTACTATGAGGAACATCCTACGATGTTGGGGCACAATACCATGCAATCATCGGAGCCTGACCACCCGATCCATTAAATTGCAAGTTTGGCTCAAAAATTAATTTTGAATTTGTTGCAAACATCAATTTTTCAAGATACATTCACTCAATTCCGTACAAAAAAATAATAACATTCGTAGAAAGAATTTAAATGTCTCAAGTGAAAGTGCTGAAATCACACGCTAGGTAATCAGATTACAAAGGAAAACTATTTGGGGGCATGGCCTAAAGCTATCGGTGCAGTGGTGTGTGATTGGCTGAGATGTAGATGTGATTATAGCATCTGTCTACTGTATAATCGGTCTTGTGATGTTTAGCAGCTATATGGATATGTCACGAGATGTTGCTATTCTGTTAATCCTACAAATATACTACAACATACAATGATGAGTAATCGAGTGTGGACCAGACAATCCAGTGATTAATATCATGAGCATTGATCCACGCAATTGGGATTGATGACATGCATCAACCAAGTCCCGTTAGTCGCCTCTTATGAGAAGCATAGTTGCCTTTTATGACAAGCATGGGTTGCTTAAGACCTATTCTACCCCGGATCTTCACAGGTCAATGAGTGCATGAAAGGACCTTGATGTTGACATTGTGCATAAGAAAAAGAACAATTAACTGTATTCCCACAGTTAAGGTGAAATGGGTTTAAATAGAGAATCTCACCTGAGTGTCTTTTGATATCAAATATATCAACATGAGTTGATAAAAGTGGAAAAATTCTGAGGCTTGCTGAGGATTTTTGCCACTTTTATCAACGAGTGTTGATATGTTTGATATCAAAAGACACGAGGGTGAGATTTTATTTATCATCCAACATCATTCTTTCAACTTTTTCAATTTGTAGACAGTAATTAGCAGTGTCTTCAGTGTAAAAAGTACTGCAAACAGCTTCAGTAGCAGAGCCATTAGTGATGTCATTTGATTGTGATGTCATGGTAACCAGTGATGTCACAATGGTCTGCAAAGCATTGTGATGTAATTTCATTGCAGCCATATCTCCTGTGGGAGCCTGTTTTGGATGACAAAATTGTGTTCCCGAATATTTCACTCATATAGTGCCATGCATACATAGCGCCATGCATACAGAGCGTCATGCATGCAGTTTGTGTGTTTCTGCTTGGACTAGTCCAAACTTGTGCCAGTTTAAAAGAGCTAGTCCACTGAGATACCATGCCGCAGTTTCACATGGATAACCTATTTAGAACAATTATACTGACTCCCAGCCGACCAGTCCTTGTGTATTCTGCTTGGACTAGTCCAAACTTGTGCCAGTTTTAAAGAGCTAGTCCACTGAGATACCATGCCGCAGTTTCACATGGATAACCTATTCAGAAACATAATACTGACTCCGAGCTGACCAGTCCTTGTTATATCTAACTGCCGAGTGCCAGACTGGGTAAAATCATCAAGTATCTTCAAAATTGTTTGGTCTGTCGTTGCCAGAGGATCAAAATGGGCACACGTTTGATCCACTATACCACAGAGGCTGCAGACTTTTGATTCACTACACCACAGAGGCTGCAGACGTTTGATCCACTACACCACAGAGGTGGGCAGAGCTTTGATTCACTACACCACAGAGGCGGGCAGAGCTTTGATCCACTACACCACAGAGGTGGGCAGAGCTTTGATCCACTACACCACAGAGGCGGGCAGAGCTTTGATCCACTACACCACAGAGGTGGGCAGAGCTTTGATCCACTACACCACAGAGGCGGGCAGAGCTTTGATCCACTACACCACAGAGGCGGGCAGAGCTTTGATCCACTACACCACAGAGGCGTGCAGACGTTTGATCCACTACACCACAGAGGCGGGCAGACGTTTGATCCACTACACCACAGAGGCGGGCAGACCTTTGATCCACTACACCACAGAGGCGGGCAGATGTTTGATCCACTACACCACAGAGGCGGGCAGACGTTTGATCCACTACACCACAGAGGCGGGCAGACGTTTGATCCACTACACCACAGAGGCGGGCAGACGTTTGATCCACTACACCACAGAGGTGGGCAGAGCTTTGATCCACTACACCACAGAGGCGGGCAGACGTTTGATCCACTACACCACAGAGGTGGGCAGAGCTTTGATCCACTACACCACAGAGGCGGGCAGAGCTTTGATCCACTACACCACAGAGGCGGGCATATTCCCACAGGGGCATTCTGACATCTAATGTAACTCTTTTGCTTCTGTAGATAACATAGTAGTAACATAACTATCCCTGTCCTACATCCACCATTACCTCATGGACCATGCATTCTGTGATTGGAGTGGCCTCCCTTAGTCCCCATATTGCACTGATGCCACTGAAGAGTGATGTATTGGGCAAAACTGTCTCTGTGAGTGGGCTGGCAGGTTTGAGTGAGTGAGTGAGTGAGTGAGTGAGTGAGTGAGTGGGTGTTAGGGTGAGTGAGTGAGTGAGTGAGCGGGTGGTAGGGTGAGTGAGTGAGTCAGTCAGTCAGTGAGTTGCTTAACCAAATTTAATGTCACTGAGAAGTTTAGAATCCCAGCCAATCATTTCTAAAACTACGCTCATGAATCTGTTACGAAAGCAACCCATAAAATCATTCTATCATTATCTGTGAATTTAAGAGAATTCATTATGTTTGGTTGTTTGTTTATTTGTTTGTTTGTTGTTTAACGTCACACTCATCAATATTCCATATATATGATGGCAATCTGTAAATAATCAAGTCTGGACCACACAATCCAGTGATTGACATTATGAGCATCGATCTATGCAATTGAGATTATGATACGATGATATCCATCAAATAGTCATCAAGCCTGACCCCTGATTCCAGTAGCCGCCTCTTATGCATGACAAGCATGGGTTGCTAAGACCTATTCCCAGGATCTTCACAGGACAGAATTCATTATGACAATAATGAATGTATACTATAGAACTCACTTTCAGAGGATTATTGATACACCGAACTATCATTTGCCCAAAACATCCAAAGAACAAACTACAGTAAACTACGGTTATAATGAACTCAAAGGGACCACTAATTTAAGTTTGTTATAACCGTAGTTCGTTATAAGCATTATACACAACAAATAGCTGCGACCCAACAAAATGTTTGTTATATCTGTCATTTTGTTATAAGCGTAGTTCACTGTACAAACAAATGGTTTGGTCTATCTAACAATAAAAAACATATTCAGCCTAAATGAGCATTTTTATGATCACATGTTAAATATTCCTTTACAAAATAGCTCCTTGTCCGTATACTACACACCTGATTGTCGACATAGTGATCGCATCCATAGCACCACACAGACAGATCGGCATAGCTCAGCACCATCAGGTGACCCGCCTCGATTCCGTGAAACAACATGTGCTCGTTAACGAAACGGCTACAAAACACCTGTCAGGTAAAGAAAGGATGTTGATGCAATTTGTTAAATGAAAACCCACAATTTCCTAAAAGAATCTTGAACAAAAAGTTTTAACGGAAATACAAATGGTAGACTTGTCCATTAGAAAGGAACATAAATCAGTCTTGCTTTAAAAAGCTGCAAATATTGTAGAGCATCAGGTATTGCTGATTCGGCAAAGATTTCCACAGTTTCCAGATGAGATGTAAAAGAATTCATCAACTGATGAAATGCCTCACCCCGCAGCTACTGATGATGCAGGTTGTTTCAATGCTGTGGGACGGATCTCACCTGGTGGAGGAACGTAGGTATCATACAGCACTGATCCCCCCCGCGGATGATTTAATCTAGTCATCTACATCATTACCTCAAACATCTTCTGATACTACCAGCTTTAGACTTTGATTGTTGTCCCTCACTTACCTTGTAACACACCAGACACACCCAGTTCTCTGACAGGTCTCCACACACATCACAGGGGCACCTGTGTCCCTCAGACACTTACCTTGTAACACACCAGACACACCCAGTTCTCTGACAGGTCTCCACACACATCACAGGGGCACCTGTGTCCATCACTTACCTTGTAACACACCAGACACACCCAGTTCTCTGACAGGTCTCCAAACACATCACAGGGGCACCTGTGTCCATCACTTACCTTGTAACACACCAGACACACCATGTTCTCTGACAGGTCTCCACACACATCACAGGGGCACCTGTGTCCATCACTTACCTTGTAACACACCAGACACACAGTTCTCTGACAGGTCTCTACACACATCACAGGGGCACCTGTGTCCCTCACTTACCTTGTAACACACCAGACACACCATGTTCTCTGACAGGTCTCTACACACATCACAGGGGCACCTGTGTCCCTCACTTACCTTGTAACACACCAGACACACCCAGTTCTCTGACAGGTCTCCACACACATCACAGGGGTACCTGTGTCCATCACTTACCTTGTAACACACCAGACACACCATGTTCTCTGACAGGTCTCCACACACATCACAGGGGCACCTGTGTCCATCACTTACCTTGTAACACACCAGACACACCCAGTTCTCTGACAGGTCTCCACACACATCACAGGGGCACCTGTGTCCATCACTTACCTTGTAACACACCAGACACACCCAGTTCTCTGTCAGGTCTCCACACATATCACAGGGGCACCTGTGTCCATCACTTACCTTGTAACACACCAGACACACCATGTTCTCTGATAGGTCTCCACACACATCACAGGGGGACCTGTGTCCCTCACTTACCTTGTAACACACCAGACACACCCAGTTCTCTGACAGGTCTCCAAACACATCACAGGGGCACCTGTGTCCATCACTTACCTTGTAACACACCAGACACACCATGTTCTCTGACAGGTCTCTACACACATCACAGGGGCACCTGCATCCATCACTTACCTTGTAACACACCAGACACACAGTTCTCTGACAGGTCTCTACACATATCACAGGGGCACCTGTGTCCATCACTTACCTTGTAACACACCAGACACACCATGTTCTCTGACAGGTCTCTACACACATCACAGGGGGACCTGCATCCATCACTTACCTTGTAACACACCAGACACACCCAGTTCTCTGACAGGTCTCTACACACATCACAGGGGCACCTGTGTCCCTCACTTACCTTGTAACACACCAGACACACCAAGTTCTCTGACAGGTCTCTACACACATCACAGGGGCACCTGCATCCATCACTTACCTTGTAACACACCAGACACACCATGTTCTCTGACAGGTCTCCACACACATCACAGGGGGACCTGTGTCCATCACTTACCTTGTAACACACCAGACACACCCAGTTCTCTGACAGGTCTCCACACACATCGCAGGGTCACCTGTGTCCATCACTTACCTTGTAACACACCAGACACACCCAGTTCTCTGACAGGTCTCCACACACATCACAGGGGCACCCGTGTCCATCACTTACCTTGTAACACACCAGACACACCCAGTTCTCTGACAGGTCTCCACACACATCGCAGGGGCACCTGTGTCCATCACTTACCTTGTAACACACCAGACACACCCAGTTCTCTGACAGGTCTCCACACACATCACAGGAGGCACCTGCATCCCTCACTTACCTTGTAACACACCAGACACACCCAGTTCTCTGACAGGTCTCTACACACATCACAGGGGCACCTGTGTCCATCACTTACCTTGTAACACACCAGACACACCATGTTCTCTGACAGGTCTCCACACACATCACAGGGGCACCTGTGTCCATCACTTACCTTGTAACACACCAGACACACCCAGTTCTCTGACAGGTCTCCACACACATCACAGGGGTCACCTGTGTCCAGGCCCCGAGCTGGTAGGGGCTGCACGGTCTCCAGGTGGGGACACCACGTCAGTGGCTGAACTGCATACATCTTCTCAAAGTTCTGGAAAATGTCAAATATCAACCTGTAATTAACATGGCCTCCTCAGGTAACACTTGATGGAGAAACAAGATATGACTAACAGAAGCAATCCACAATCGCCGCCACAAGCCATCAATCAACAGAGATCAAGGCTATTTCATCCCATCTGCCTACTATGAACTCATCAAGCAATAATCACTTATCCTGTTTTATTGGCGTTATGTACCAATGGCTCCCACCTATGTGTTCTCTGTCCATCGTGTTGTGACAGTATTATCCCCTTGTTGTCAACACCTATCAATGTTATCCCACTCATATATGCAATTGTTGTTGCTGTCAATTCTCTACTGTTATTCCTCCACCAGCATTTCGTGAAGGCTACTTCCTGCACCTCATGCAGGTGCTTCTATGTGAGTGAGTGAGTTTTTGATTTTACGCCGCTTTTAGCAATATTCCAGCAACATCATGGCAGGGGACACCAGAAATGGGCTTCACACATTGTACCCATGTCGGGAATCGAACCCGGGTCTTCGGCATGACAAACGAACACTTTAACCACTAGGCTACCCGACCGCCCCTGCTTCCATGTACAATGTTATCAATGGGAATGTTTTAAGGTGATCGGCACACTTTGTTTATTCCAGGAATCAGGTCTGGACCAGACAAGCAGGAGGTACTGGAGACCTTGTCTGACCTGGATCCACCACAATGAGTGAAGACAAGCAGGAGGTACTGGAGACCTTGTCTGACCTGGATCCACCACAATGAGTGAAGACAAGCAGGAGGTACTGGAGACCTCGTCTGACCTGGATCCACCACAATGAGTGAAGACAAGCAGGAGGTACTGGAGACCTCGTCTGACCTGGATCCACCACAATGAGTGAAGACAAGCAGGAGGTACTGGAGACCTCGTCTGACCTGGATCCACCACAATGAGTGAAGACAAGCAGGAGGTACTGGAGACCTTGTCTGACCTGGATCCACCACAATGAGTGAAGACAAGCAGGAGGTACTGGAGACCTCGTCTGACCTGGATCCACCACAATGAGTGAAGACAAGCAGGAGGTACTGGAGACCTTGTCTGACCTGGATCCACCACAAAGAGTGAAGACAAGCAGGAGGTACTGGAGACCTTGCCTGACCTGGATCCACCCCAATGAGTGAAGACAAGCAGGAGGTACTGGAGACCTTGTCTGACCTGGATCCACCACAATGAGTGAAGACAAGCAGGAGATACTGGAGACCTTGTCTGACCTGGATCCATCACAATGAGTGAAGACAAGCAGGAGGTACTGGAGACCTTGTCTGACCTGGATCCACCACAATGAGTGAAGACAAGCAGGAGGTACTGGAGACCTTGTCTGACCTGGATCCATCACAATGAGTGAAGACAAGCAGGAGGTACTGGAGACCTCGTCTGACCTGGATCCACCACAATGAGTGAAGACAAGCAGGAGGTACTGGAGACCTTGTCTGACCTGGATCCACCACAATGAGTGAAGACAAGCAGGAGGTACTGGAGACCTTGTCTGACCTGGATCCACCACAATGAGTGAAGACAAGCAGGAGGTACTGGAGACCTTGTCTGACCTGGATCCACCACAATGAGTGAAGACAACTGGAGTTACCTCTACATCAACATATTTTCAAATGTTCCCCCTTGGGGACTCTGTGTTAGAAGAGGTCCCCAGTCACAAGAGGCGACTAAATAGCTTGGATTATAGCTCACAATATTGACCACTGGATGGTCTGGTTCAGACTTGATTATTTATAGATGTGATCACTATATTGCCAGTAGAATACCGTATTCGACGTAATAAGCGCCCAGGGTGCTCTCAAAATCAGAGGTGAGGTGAAATGGGGTTTAACGTCGCGTCCAAGATTATTGCACTTATATAGCGACGTGCATGCACGTGTGTGTGTTTGTGTAGCTGCTTGTACTAGTCCGGACTGATGCTGATTTATAGTGCTAGCTCACTGAGATACCATGGCGCAGTTTAACATGAATACCCCACTCAGACACAGTATACTGACTCCGAGCCGACCAGTCCTTGTTTTAGCCCCTTAATGCCGAGCGCCAGACTGGGTAACACCAAGTACCATCTTTGAACGTCCTTTGGTATGATGCGGTTGGGGATCGAACCCCAGACCTTCCGCTCTCCGGGTGGACGCTCTACCACTAGACCACAGAGCGGTCCCTCAAAATTAGAAATAGGGGGCTCTTATTAGTATATTATTTTGGGGAAAAAACAGAGTTGAAAGATAAATTTCGTGGTTTATGCTGACAGCCTGAAGTGTTTTTGTACGACAGATATATTTTTCAGGAAATTTAATTGCCCATCATTAAGGGTGCATATAACACATGAGTAGGTATTATACGAGAATAAATAAGTCTTGTATACATTGATCAATCGGAAGGGGTGTTAATTGGGATTGTTCACTCACCAATATATTAGCAAATGTCGCCGTGGGCGCTTATTAGAGTGGAGCGCTTATAACGATGAATACGGTACCTGGATATACACACCACCCCAAACCACACCTTACACACACCACAAACCTTACACACACCACACCGCACTGCACCCCACCCCACGCCACCCCACCCCACCACATCACACCACACCACACCACACCACATCACATCACAACATACACACCGCACCGAACCACACCACAGACTTCCAGATTCTGTTTGTTGAAAATCTGGCAGGTAGGTGGAAAAGTAAAAAATATATGAAATGAACTTTCAGATTATTTTCCTCCATGTCAGTGCTAACTTCATAATAATTGACGTGTGATGAGTAGCGGTCGAAAAACACAACATATAATAACATTAAACTTCCCCACAAAAATACTTAAAAATGTTCCCACCCAACTACACCTAAGGACCACAGACTGATAATGTCTTTCTTCACCTGCCATGTAAACAGTTTAAATACCACCATGTGCTCCAGGCTGCTTCGCCACAGACAATATCCTTGATGGGGGAGTAACTTGTAAATTCCGCCTCCTGGTATTCTTACACTGAAACCATCCCCTCTGTCAACAGTGCTTTATGAGGGAGTGTTCATCACCATAAACAGTCTGGTCTCTAAATTCTTGACTCATTTTTTGCCACACTGCTACGCTAGATTCGGCGGGAGACTGTGCTCAGCTGGGTCAGGTTGTAAAAGCAGGAGTTTGTAGTTACTCAGGGAGTGTTCATTACCACAAACAGTCTGGTCATTAATAATTGTTTCATAATTCCACACAGCTTTTCTGTATTCGTTTGTTTGTTTGATTTTGTTTGTTTGTTGTTTAACGCCGCACTCAGCAATATTCCAGCTATATGACGGCGGTCTGTAAATAATCGAGTCTGGACCAGACAATCCAGTGATTGACATCATGAGCATCAATCCACACAATTGGGATCGATGACATGCATCAACCAAGTCAGCGAGCCTGACCACCCGATCCCATTAGTCGCCTTTTACGACAAGCATAGTCGCCTTTTACTGCAGGCATGGGTTGCTGAAGACCTATTCTACCCCGGATCTTCATGGGTCTTTTCTGTATTCAGGGAGAATGTGCTCAATTGGCTCAGCCTGTAAGGGTGGAGTCTGCAGTGAGTGAGTGAGTGAGTGAGTGAGTGAGTGAGTGAGTGAGTGAGTATGACTTTACGTCACTTTCACCAATATTCCAACCATACCATGGAAGTGTAGGCCAGCTTCACACAATTTATCAATGAGAAGATTCAAACCCTAATCTTCACTGTCATTAACCAACACATCAACCACTTGGCTACCTCAATCCAATGTGTTTGAGTGAGTGTACAGATATATAGTCTAATGTTTGTAGAGTGATCATGATTCTTTTAGCAATATTCCAGCAATATCGCGGGGGACAGCAGAAATGGGCTTCACATATTGTACCCATGTGGGCAATCAAACCCGGGACTTCGGCGTGACAAGTGAACACTTAAACCATGAAATGAGAGTTACCAAGAAAGTCACAGACGTTAAGTCATCCTACTTTAGTTGAGTTGTTAAAAGCATAATCAGAAAGTCCACTTTTCCATTCTCTTCTATGACATTAAAACATATGCTTCTAAATCAGCAGTTACACTACATTTTTACAGCGTTACACTGATTGAGGAAACACGTGACAGTGTCAAATAAGATGCAAAACCACAAAAGATCACGACGCCTTTTCCTAGATAAAAAATAAGATTGGTCTGGCTGTTCCTATTGTGGCAGCCATATCCAACTTTTGTCTAAATTGATAATGATTGTTTCAACCCACACCTAACTTATTGATTTAGGCTGGAAACTCTCTCCCAAATGCCGTGTCTCTGAGCCCAGGAAGGACTGAGAAGTCAAAACTTAATCGTAACTTTACAACCACTGCAGAGGTCCTAAGATGGCGGTAACTTTGTGAAGCCACCACCACCTGTCCAGTGTCCACACAGGAGGGCTGGGACGAGTCCTCCCCGGGTACTTGACCCCTTATCACCCGACCCTACCCGGGCACCTGCTCTAGGTCTCAAGAGTTGGGTACAACATGTCGGTAACTTTGTGAAGCACCACCACCTGTCCAGTGTCCACACAGGAGGGCTGGGACGAGTCCAAATTTACTCCCCGGGTACTTGACCCCTTACTACCCGACCCTACCCGGGCACCAGCTGTAGGTCTCAAGAGTTGGGCACAACATGTCCAATTGGGAATTGTGTTACTGAAGCCCTGGCAAAAAGTGTTTAGGTACACATACAAAACGATCTTGTTATGCATACACTGCATTTGACCGAAACCTTATCGTTATTTAAACATATATAAGTCAGAATGAATGCATGCATAGTCAGAAAGAAATGTGAACATTAGTGACTTGTAGTGTAACCATGGAGTTATAGATCATGTGACTAACCACAGGTCTGGGTAGTCCTGTGGTACCCAGGCCCTACTCAGTACCCACCCAACCTGAGTACCCAGGTACCCAAGATACCTGTCCCAGCACTAATAAATAGACCCTCGAACAACCTACAT